AAAATTACAAATGCCTAGTAAAAACTGCCAAAAACCTATGACAGACTAATGAGTTAAAGGTAATACTCTGAAAGGATTTCTATTAGTCTGTTGAAAAAGAATAAGGCCTATTTATTTCATTTGTAGGACCATGGGAAAGACATCCTGTTCTAAGTGAAAAAAGCAAATTACAGAAGATTTTTAAAACAGGGCCAGTTTCTTCACAGAAAGATGCATGCATTCAATTGTGTATGCGTATCTATATATGTATATAGATATATATATATATATCTATTTACTTGCTGGGCAAGTAAATAACACTTGTCTCGGGAGGCTGAGGTAGGAGCATAGCCCTGAGCTTGAGGCCAGCCAGAACTACGTAAGTGAGATCCTGTCTTTGGACACAGATATTTAAATACGTGGATGTACATAGAAAATCTGAAGAACCAGGCCCCCACTTTCACTAGTGTGTTGTTTCTGTTTTTTGGGTTTTTTTTTTTTTTTTTTTTTTTTTTTTTGTCTTTTGTTCCGGCACCAGGAATTGAACTCACGACCTTGCGCTTGCCAGACAGGCACTTTGCCGCTGAGCTAAATCCCCAGCCCCTAGTGTGTTGTTTCTGACTGGAAAGGGTGGCTGCAGGTCCAAAGAACAATCCATTAATCGAGGAGTATCACGCACACTTATCAATCCCTCATACCTTTGCTGGATCTCTTGGGTGTTTTCTTGTTTCCTTCGGATGTAATTTCAATTTCATCAGGGTTACCACCTTCATCTTCAATTGCCTAAAGGGAAGGTATAAAAGCTGACCAAAGAAAACACAACCAGGTGCAGCGGCACAAACCTATATTCTCAGTGACTTGGGGGCTCAGGTAGGAGGACCTCTTCTGCCCAAGAGTTTGAGATCAACCCAGATTAACACTGTAAGCCCTCCTTTTAAAAAACAAAAACTACACACACACACACTTTCCCAGAATCCTCATGAAGGATGGGAAGCCCTTCTTTAGAATACAGTTGTTGAAAAAATACAAAAAACAAAACAAAACAGAAAAATAGAATACAGTTGCTACTGCAATCTGAAAATGCCCTCAGTAGGCATCTATTCTCCCTGTCCATTTCTTATCGTGCTCTACATGGGAACAGGAGCTCTGGAAATAAAGAGACAAGTTCATAACTTGGGGACATAGGCAGTTTTACTATTTCTGGGCCCAAAAGAACTCAAAAAGAGAAAGGCGCCCTGAATTTCTTTTGGCTTTAGCCAACAACCTGCACTTTAACCCTCCAGCCTCACCTCTCTATGCCATGCCTGTCCTCTGGACAGTCGGGATAAAATACTGACACTCTCTGGCTGAGCGCCCACTGTGTGACAAGCTTAGGACCACACACATCCTACCACCTCCGTCGGGATCTTCTCTTAACCATAGGTGCCCTGCCTCGCACATACTGAGTATGTTTCTTGGCAGGCACTGGCTCTCACCCTAAGCATTTGTTATTCAGGCCCCTTGCCCAGGACTGCACCAGCACGGACGAGACACTGCACATCAGTACCGATACTGCTGACGACACTCCTAGAAATGGGGTTCAGGTTTGGTTTCACTTAGAACCTTTTTTCTCTTTATTATACTATCTTTTTTTTTCAGTCTTTTTGAGACAGGGTCTCACTATGCAGTTCAGGCTGGGTTTAAGCTCACTTTGTAGCCCAGGCTGGCCTTGAACTCATAACAATCCTCCTGCCTCAGCCTCCTGAGTGCTGGGATTACAGGCGTGTGCCGCCACGCCCAGCTCTATTGTACTATCTTGTGAGCTCAAGTTCTCATTTGCTTTGTTTTGCTTTTATAGTACTACGGACCATCCCAGGGCCTTTCACATGCTAGGGGAGTTCTCTACCACTAAGCTATACCCTCACCTACACACCGTTTGTTTAAACCCATTTTAAGTGCTATGTTTTACCTACAGACAGTTTCAAAAGTCTCAAATTTTCTCAGGAGTTTCTCAGCTTGATAAGTCCCAATTTAGAATGGGACTTGGGGTTCTGCACAGAATCTCTACCAAGAGCAAAGACAACCTCTCCTCTACATGAAACCCAGGAGGAGGAACCAGTTCGGTCTTGAGAGTAAGGAAAAGCACAGTCAGTCCCTCGCCCTCTGCCTGGCAACAGTCAATTCTGAACTGTCACAAACACAGACCTGCCTCAGGCAGGAGGCAGTCATTCTACCCACAGCGCCTCCCATGGTGCAGTGTGTAGTCACCCTTATAGGCCTAAGCAAATCCCTCCGCTTTTTCCTCTTGCAGTTCTTGGCAAAAACTAGGAACCAGACACCAACTGGGTGACAAAGTGGGAAAGGAAGCTCCCTGATTCCAGCTTTGCTCTGGTACACCAACAGGGTACCGGCTGATGGCATTTCTGCACTGACACCACATCCTTGAGAAACTGAGAAGAGGGAGAAGGAATCAGGGATGCATTTGTACCTGCCAGGATGACAATGGAAAAAAAAGGGGAAGGTTTTCGAGGTCATACACTAATCCCAGACAGGAGCCTGACAGAACAGCTCACCGCCAAAAGGAAGCTTTGCAGGCCTTCTGACTGCAGATAGGGCGCCTTCACTCAGTGTGACTGACAGAAAGCTCTAAGACAGGGCCCCACACCTCCCAGCTGTGAACTTCCACCCTTTCTGCATTTTCTCCAGGTCAACAGAGGCCCTGCTCTGTTTCAACGAAGACTGAGTAACTATGGAGAAAGAAACAAAAGCTTCAACTTTAAAGAGGTCCAAGCCCTCTGGGCACATCAATCTGCTCTTGAGCTTAAGCTTCTTCCTGACAAAAAAGGAAAATATTCCCTACTTCATCTTAATAGTAAATGCTAATGAAACCCCAAACTTCTTTGGTTTTTAGGGTCCAGGAAGATGCAATGACTCACCAGTCCCTGGCGCAAGGGCTGGGGGGCAGGCGGTACAGCTAAAGACTGCAGGGAAGAAGCCCCAAGACTGCAATAGGTGAGAGAAAGGAGAAAAAAGCAGCCCCCCAAAAGAAGGAAAACAGGGCACTAACTGGGTGCTAACCACTTTTACAAAGGGATCCCTCAGAATCCTCCAAGGTTAGAGACCAGATCTATAAATGAAGAGGTGCAGCGGAGAGGAAAATCAAATTGTGATAACAATCGCAAGCAGTGTTTATGTGTGCCAGGCAACAAGCCAAACCATGCCACGCGACCTTATCTAATCCGGAAAAACAAAGCACTATCGTTTTTCTTTTAAAACCTTCTAACCCTACACCTTTTTAGGCTTTTTTTTTTTTTTTTTTGGTGAGACAGTGTCTCGATTAAAACTCACTATATAGCCCAGGCTGTCCTCGAACTCCTAGCGATTCTCCTGCCTCAGCCTCCTGAGTGCTGGGATCACAGGGGTGCGCCCCCACACCCGCTTAACCCCTACACTTTTAAGTGCTGAGGTAGGTAGGAAGATTGCAAGTTCAAACCCAACCTAGGCAACTGCGCCAGATTCAATCTCAAAATAAATAAGAAAAACGAGCTGGGGAGGTAGCTCGGTGCAAAGGCCCTGAATCCCTCCTTTACCCGCCCCCAAAGAAACAGACTCAAAAGAGGTTAAAGGTCTACGCCCAACACCTAGCCAGACGACCCGATCGGAGAAGTTCCAAAGCTTTTTCCCCCTCTAAACCTAACAGCAAGCGTACACGTTGGGGCACGCCCGCAATCCCAGCACTCGCGGGGGGCGGGGGGGGGGCGCTGAGGCAGGAGGATCGCCCCGATCACAGGCGATCAGAGACCAGCCTGGGCTATACAGTGAGTTTAAGGCCTGCTTGAAATACAAATCAAGACTGCCTCAAAAAAATAAAACACAACCCCCCCCCACAAAACCTAACAGTATATATCTGACATTCCCAATCGCTGACAGATGTCTTTCCTTCCTGCTACCCCAGGCTAGTCCTTGGAAAAATCATTAAAACCAGTTTCGTTTCTGCCCCCGCCACGGACATTTCCCCGAGCTGTTTACTTTCCAGCCTTCCCCCGGGAAGCCCGCACTGACGGCAAACAGGAGGACCGGCTTAGGTTCAAATCCCGCCTCTCCGCGCCCCGGCTGGGTGACCTTGGCCGAACCCCTTCGTCTCAGCAAAGTGCGGATTTCGGGGTACCGTCCAGCTATGGAGGCCGGGAAGGGACGCGCGAGGTGCTACCTCAGCGCTGGGGCCCACGTCGCAGGCCCGCAGGCCCCTGGGACGGCGGCCGCTTCTCCCGTCTGCATCCCGTCCCCCTCTTCTCGCCCCAGGGTGGCGCCGAGACCCGAACCCAGGCCTGGCCCGCCTCGGAGCATCCCGGGGCCTGGAAGAGCCGAGAGACGCCGGCGCCAGGCCGGAGGCGGCCGAGGGAACACAGTCGCGGCCGCGGGGCTCTCCAACCCACCCCGGGCCCACCCCCGAGCCTCAGCGCTACCTTTTTCAGCCGCTCCATCAAAACGCTCTTGTTGCCGCTGGAATCTAGATTCCGCTTCCTCAGTTCCGCCCGCAGGTCGATCACCCGCAGGTCGCTGAGGCGCCGCGTCCCGGTCTCCGACGAGGCGGAGCTCAGAGCCGCTGCGCTCGCCGCACCCGAATCTCCTAAACCCGACAGCGTCTCCGCCATTCCAGGGACCCTGGTGCCGTCGTCCCCTTCACACAGAAACGGGCCGGTTTTATCTCCGCTCCTAGCACAAAATGGCGCCTCCTGCGAGGAAACCGCTCCAGCCGTCCGGCGCGCCTCGCTTCTACGCAGGCGCATCCGGCGCAAGACCGACGCTCCAAATCGCGTCTGCACATGCGTGGTGAGAACCTCGGGAAGATGCGCGCAGGCGCGCTTCCCCTCATCGGCCTCCCGCCGCGGACGACAGCGACGCATGCGTACTGCAGTGGTGGCGCCTGCGCGTTCTGGCGGGAACTGGAGGTTGGTCGGTGAGTGAGCGTGCCTGAGGCTGAGAATGCTCGTGGGAACGGTACGCATGCGCGGCCGCAAAGCGGGGCGGGAGGAAGCGAGTGCGTTTTCCTCTTAGGCGGCGCCATTTTGTGCTCAGAACCGCTACAGCTGCCGGCGGTGAGGCGGCTGAGCCGCGCTAGCAAGGATGGCGGAACCTCTGGCGGGGTCGGCGGACTCGGGTTCTGGCACGGCTGTTCTGGGCTTTGGCTCCTCGGAGACCGGAACGCGGCGGCTTAGCGAGTTGCGGGTGATCGACTTGCGAGCGGAGCTAAAGAAGCGGAATTTGGACACTGGTGGCAACAAGAGCGTCCTGATGGAGCGGCTCAAGAAGGTGAGAGGGCGCGGGAACCCGGCCTGTCACCGCGACCCCGCGACTTCGGGCGGCCCCCAGCCGCCGCGGTTGGGCCCGGGGTCCGCGCTGTGTGACCTTGGCCGCCGCTGCCCGTCTCTGTGCCGCGCGCGCCCCCCGGCCTCGTTGCTGCCCCTCACCCCCGGGCGCGCTTCAGGGCTCCGGTGGCTCGCGGAGCGGCCCTGGACGTGTGCTGGGCTTGGCGTGGACGCTCGAATGGGTGACCTTGAACAGGCGCTGCCGCGCGCCCCGCGCCTCAGTTTGCTCCTCTGCAGAACGGGCGCCTGCGAGCGCGGGCGGGCTGCTCCCCGCGGCCCCTGCGCCCCGCGCCTCGTCCGG